CATATATATATAAAAATATTATATTATATTATTAATATAATATTATACATATATATATAATACATATAAATATAATATTAAATTTTTAATACAAAAATATATATATATATACATATATATATATATATTAAATATAAAATATAAAAAAACATATAAAAATAAAAAATAAAATATTATATAACATAAAAAATTATAAAAAAAATTAAAAAAAAATATTAAAATAAAATGTATTACAAAAAAATAAAAAAAAATTAATAAATAAAAAGTATATACAAATAAAAAATTACAAATATATAAAATAAAAAAAAAAAAAAAATAAAAAAAAAAAAAAAAATAAAAAATAAAAAATTAAATAAATAAAAAAAAAAAATTATATATTTTATAAATATTATATAAAAAAAAAACCCCCACACACTTCAAGGGTAATGTTTTCTTAAATTCTTGTTTCCCCTTTTCCCCCTCCCCCCCAACCCCCTCAGCTTACTCTCACTGATTCCTGAAGGTGAACTGAAGGTTACTCTCTCTCTCTCTCTCTCTCATCACTGGACGTAAAATTTTCTCATATTACTTGTAACAAACTCTTGACCTGCGATGAAGACTGCATCGGTGTGAAAAAAAAAATTATCTAGCAAAGTTGATTGTGGTAGCAATGTGTTGCCTGTCGCGTGTGTGTGTGTACTCACCCAGTTGTAGTTGCAGGGGTCCAATCACAGCTCCTCGCCCCGCCTCTTCACTGGTAGCTACTAGGTCACTCTTTCTGCTCCATGAGCTTTATCATACCTCTTCTTAAAGTTATGTATGGATCCTCCCTCCACTACATCACTTACCAGGCCATTACACTTCCTGACAGCTCTGTGACTGAAGAAATACTTCTTAACATCCCTGTGGTTCATCTGAGTCTTCAACTTCCAACTGTGACTCCTTGTTGCTGTGTCCCATCTCAGGAACATACATTTACCTTTGAAGAGTTTCGAGAGTTTAACTACTCTCGGGGATCGGCCATGGGCCAGGCTCCTCCCGCGCTTGCCTGATCAACCAAGCTGATGCTGCTGGAGGCCCGCTGCCCCACATATCCATCACAGCCTGGTTGATCTGGCACCTGGTGAAGATACTTGTCCAGTTTCCTCTTGAAGGCTTCTACACTTGTTCCAGCCGTGTTTCTGATATCTTCTGGTAAGATGTTGAATAGTCTGGGACCCCAGAATGTTGATACAGTGTTCCCTTGTCCCCACCACACCCCTGCTCCTCACTGGGTTTATTTTACACTTCCTCCCATATCTCTCACTCCAGTATATTGTTATGGTAGGGTGCAGATTTGGGACCAGGCCCTCGAGTACTTTCCAGGTATATATTATCATGTATCTCTCTCTCCTCCGCTCCAATGAGTACATGTTCAAGACTTGAAGGCGTTCCCAGTAATTTAGGTGCTTTACTGGCTCAATGCGAGCAGTAAACGATCTCTGTATTTGTTCCAGCTCCGATATTTCTCCTGCTTTGAACGGGTCCGTCAGCACTGAGCAATATTCTAAATGAGGGAGCACTAGCGATTTGAAGAGTGTCACCATCAGCATTATTTCCCTTGTTTTGAAAGTTCTCAATACCCACCCCGTCATCTGTCTGGCTGTCGTGATCTTTGTCTTGTTATGATCTTTAAAGGAAAGGTCAGCTGACATAATTATTCCCAGGTCTTTTACCTGTTCCTTTTGTTCTATTTGGTGACCCTCTTGAGTTTTGTATATAGTGTTCCTTTTGAGTTCGTCATTCTTTCCATACCTAAGCAGCTGGAACTTATCACCACTGAACGTCATGTTGTTCTCCACTGCCCACTGGAAAACCCTGTTTATGTCTTCCTGTAATTTTTCAGTGTCCTCTACCGTAGTGACTTTCGTGCTTATTTTAGTGTCATCTGCAAATGATGATACAAAAGTGTGCCGGGTGTTTTTATCTATGTCTGCTATGAGGATGAGAAACAGCAGAGGTGCCAGGACAGTGCCTTGAAGCACTGAGCTTTTGACCTTGTTGATGCTGGATCTTGCTCTGTTTACTACTACTTTCTGTGTTCTGTGTGTTAGGAGCCCGAAAATCCCTCTGCCTACCTTCCCCGTAATGCCAATGGCCTTCATTTTGTGCGCTATCACTCCATGATTGGATTTGTCAAACGCCTTTGCAAAATCTGTGTATATCACATCTGCGTTTTGTTCTTCTTCCAATGCCTCTGTAATTCTGTCATATATTTTATTCGTTAGGTTCAGAATGATTTTCGCGAAACTATTGCATACACAAATTTTCGCTTGCCTTATTCGGCAAGAAGAGCGTCTGTCTTTCAGCCAAAATAGCAAGTTTTACCTATCGGACACGACATTATACATACATACATACATACATACATACATACATACATACACACAACACACACATATATATATATATATATATATATATATATATATATATATATATATATATACACACCCACTTCTGGAGGCCCGCTGCGCCACATATCCATCACAGACTAGCTGATCCGGCACTTGGTGAAGATACTTGTCCAGTCTCCTCTTGAAGGTTTCTACACTTGTACCAGCCGTGTTTCTGATATCTTCTGGTAAGATGCTGAAAAGTCTGGGGCCACGAACGTTGACACAGTGTTCCCTTATTGTGCCCACCGCACCCCTGCTCCTCAATGGGTTTATTTTGCATTTCCTCCCATATCTCTAATTCCAGTATGTTGTTATGGCAGTGTGCATATTTGGGACCAGGCCCTCGAGTACTTTTCAGGTATATATTATCATTTATCTTTTTCGCCTCCGCTCCAATGAGTACATGTTCAAGACCTGAAGGCGTTCTCAGTAATTTAAGTGCTTTAATGGTTCTATGTGTGCCGTAAACGATCTCTGTATTTGTTCCAGCTCTGATATTTCTCCTGCTTTGAATGGGGCCGTCAGCACTGATCAATATTTCAAATGAGGAAATACTAGCGATTTGAAGTGTCACCGTCGGAATTATTTCCCTTGTTTTGAAGGTTCTCAATGCCCACCCCGTCATCCTCCTGGCTGTCGTGATCTTTGTCTTATTATGGTCTTTGAAAGAAATGTCAGCTGACATAATTATTCCAGTCTTTTACGTGTTCCTTTCGTTCTATTTGGTGATCCTCTTGAGTTTTGCATACAGTGTTCCTGTTTGTAGATGAATGGTTCAGAGAACCGACATGTTGATAAATTAGACACATGTGCAACTCTTGGGTATCTTTATTGAGGAAACGTTTCCTCAATAAAGATACCCAAGAGTTGCACATGTGTCTGATTTATCAACATGTCGGTTCTCTGAACCATTCATCTACAAACCTGTCAGACACTGCAACTTCTTGGGATCTTAATACTTAGGAATTCTTCGCTTGCCTAATTCTTGGGCACGACCTACTTCCACATTGAACAAATGTGACACCACCTATGACTGCTGCACCTCTCCTGCCATACGGTTTACAAGCTGCTTCTCCGCTCATATGCCGTATTCTATTCCAGATTGATGGACTGAACACATCGACTCAAGGTTGAGGGACTGATTACCTCATTCTCCTCCTGTTCTTCAAGTTTCTCCTACGTATGGACTGATGAAGCCACTGTGTGGCGAAACGTTTCCTCAATAAAGATTCCCAAGAGTTGCACATGTCTCTAATTTATCATACAGTGTTCCTTTTGAATTCTTCATTCTTCCCATACCTAAGCAACTAGAACTTATCACCACTGAACATCATGTTGTTGTCCACTGACCACTGGAAAACCCTGTTTACGTCTTCCTGTAGTCCAACGTACGAGCCACAACCTGGCTGATCTACCTGGAATCTATATGGAGGGTATGCCGGGGATCAACACTCCAGGGTGCCTGTCCACGACCAGGCCTCCTGGTGGATCAGGGCCTGATCAACCAGGCTGTTACTGCTGGCTGCACGTAGTCCTACATACGAACCACAGCCCGGCTGATCCAGCACCGACTTTAAGTATCTGTCCAACTCCCTCTTGAAAGCAGCCAGGGGCCTATTGGTAAGTCCCCTTATGCCTGGTGGGAGGCTGCTGAACAGTCTTGGACCCCGGACACTTATTGTGTTTTATCTTAGGGCACAAAGTATGAAGAAAAATAAATGTATAGAGAGGTAATATGAACAAGATGTCAACACTGTTAGACTAAGACTTGACTGCCAGTATCTTCGGCTCCTCATTACCGTTATATTCATGGTGAGGTACTCAACCCATGTAGGTGATACAATACCTGGGGAATGCGAGGTAATTGGGTATCATTCAAGAAAGGAAAGAGGATGGTAGCTCGAATTCCTCGGTCCTTCACCAACATGAGGACAAACCCCTTCCTTCCTTGAAGAGCTTCAGCTGTGACTCACTAGTATTGAAATTTTAAATCATGTAAAATGAAAACAGTAATACGGCATATATAACTTTTTAAAATTAACTATTAAATTACTTAAATTTATCAAGTTACATAACTTTATCAAATTAGGCAAATTCATCAAGTTATATAACTTAATAAGGCTCCCCTTCAGTAATTAAACATTATTATAACAAAGGTTTACGTCGCTTTATGTTGTCATCAACTTGAATACAGTGAGATGGGAGAGAGACGTTGGCCAAATAAAACTGTCTCTGCTGTAAGTCTTTATTCTACCAGACAACCCATCGATACCATGCCCAGCCCTTCTAGGGTAGGGTAGGTGCCTGAGCCCGAGCCTTTAGCTTATAAGACTGTCATTCCCATTTGTCCCCTTGGGGCGGGGATGGCAGACCAGAGAGGCCTAGCTTGTGGCTAGGCCTGGGGACAGTTGGTCCCAAAGATGAGAAGGTACTTGTGCCTCCTCCCATGGGAGACTTAGGTCTCAGACACTCCCTAAAGAGGGAGCCAAGGCCGGGCCACCACTTGGAAAAGGCCCGAGCCGGGAGAATACCGGCTAATCTTTAATCATAATAATTCTACCAGACACACCGGCATCTTCTTGCCTTCAAGCCACTTCATCACTAATGATAACATATCTGAAATCTTGAGATTGTGTCCAAGTTTTGCAACAACTGTAATCTATGAATTAACACATTTTATATTTAAAGGCAAAACTGTGTACACAATGGGGTATAATCACCTGCATATTCTCAAATGCATTTGTATTTATTTTGTAGTGAGGAGAGCAGAACTAAGCCACATAATATAAGAGTGGCTTTACTAGGGATGTATAGAGTTGTAGAATAATTTCAAGACTCTCTTACTTATACAGGTAGGCCCCGCTTATACAGCAGGTTAGGTTCCGGGCTACTAATGCAAAGCTAAAATCGCTGTAAAGCGAAACATTATTATTTTTCTACTTTCAATTGCATATAAAAACCTGATACCATGTTTACATTATCCTATAATGAGTAATAAAGCCAGACATAACAATGCATATACAGTACACACACTACTTACCTTAAAATACTTTCATCCTTAGTTTATGGTGAGTGGTGAATATATTCACTGTAGGAACTCTGAATAAATGCAGAATGGGTATAACAGAAAACCGTTACATTAACGAAACGCTGTAAAACCGGGCCCTCTTGTACTTCTTGATATAAATTGAAGTAGTTAGCTTCAATGCGCAAGCTTAAGCACTGCTGTTTTGACTTCAGATTTCTGTTTACCATGACCCCCAAATCCTTTTCACATTCTGTATGCACAAGTTCTTTATCACATAAGCGTGAGAATTATTTTCATTTCCAGTATATACACTCTAAAGTGTGTATCTCAGCATTTATGTATCTGAGTTGTGCATATACACCCAGATGTATATATTTGTCACTGTACCTGGGGTTAACCTTTTAATATCTATTTTATAGACTTTAAGTATTCCCGATGTTAGTGTAAGGAATTACTGACAGTCGTGGCGCTAAGAGTCTAGCTGTTTCTTACTCTTTCTTATGATGAGGATAATGATGATGATGACGTAATGAGACAAGGTCCGAGTGAAATACCCAACAGTGAGAGAGAGAGAGAGAGAGAGAGAGAGAGAGAGAGAGAGAGAGAGAGAGAGAGAGAGAGAGAGAGAGAGAGAGAGAGAGAGAGAGAGAGAGAGAGAGAAAGAGAGAGAGAGAGAAAGAGAGAGAATGGTGATGATGATGATGTTGATGTTGATGTAGGTAAGAGCTCTTAGCTTGTAAATAAAGTTAGGAACCCCAAACCTACCTACCTGGAGGGTATTCGGGGGATCAACGCCCCCGAGGCCTGCTCCATGACCAGGCCTCCTGTGGATAAAGGCCTGATCAACAAGGCTGTTATTGCTGGCCGCAAGTAGTCCAACGTACGAACCACAGCCCAGCTGATCCAACACTGACTTTAGGTATCTGTCCAGCTCCCTCTTGAAGACAACCAGGGGTCTATTGGTAATTCCCCTTATGGCTGGTTGGGAGGCTGTTGAACAGTCTTGGGCCCCGAACACTTATTGTGTTTTCTCTTAGTGTACTAATGGTGCCCCTACTTTTCACTGGGGGTATGTTGCATCGCCTGCCAAGTCTTTTGCTTTCGTAGGGAGTGATTTGTGTGTGTAGATTAGCAACCAGTTCCTCCAGGATCTTCCAGGTGTAGATTATGATGCCTCTCTCTCGCTTGCGCTCCACTGAGTACAAGTCAAGTGCTTCCAAGTGTTCCCAGTAGTTAAGGTGTTTGATGGAACTCGACTCACGAAATCGTAATGACTCGATTGCAAACAAACCATACCACGGGTGAGGTTAGAACCCGCGATCAGACGGTCTGGAGTTTTGTGACTCTCTGATCGCTGGTTCTAACCCCACTCGTGGTATGGTGTGTTTGATGGAACTTATATATGCAGTAAAGGCTCTCTGTACATTCTCCAGATATGCAATTTCACCTGCCTTGAATGGAGATGCTAATGTACAATTCCAGCCTAGAGAGAACAAGCGATTTAAAAAGGATATCACTGGCTTGGCATCTATTGTCTTGTATCATTATCCATCCTATGTTTCCTCTCAGATGTGATAGTGGCACTGTTGTGATCCTTGAAGGTGAGATCCTCAGACATTACCACTCCCAGGTCCTTCACATTACTTTTCCGCTCTATTGTGTGATTAGAGTTTGTAGTATACTCAGTTCTAGCTATTATTTCCCCCAGTTTTCCATAACAGAGTAGTTGGAATATGTCTTCATTGAACATCATACAGTTCTCCGTTGCCCAGTGGAAAACTTAGTTTATATCTTCTTGGAGATTTGCCGTGTCCTCAGTGGATGACACACTCATGCAGGGCCTAGTATCGTCTGGAAAGGATGATACGGTGCTATGGTTTACATCTATTTTACCAGTTATCCCTTTAGCACGCATTTTGTGTGCTATTACACCATGATCGCACTTGTCAAAGACTTTTGCAAAATCTTTATATACTACATCTGCATTCTGTTTGTTTTCCAGTACATCCAAGACCATATCATAGTGGTCCAATAGTTGCGAGAGGCAGGAGCGACCTGCTCTGAACCCATGTTACCCTGGATTGCGCAATTGTTGGGAGTCCAGGTGGTTTGCTATTTTGCTTCTTAGAACTCTTTCAAAGATTTTTATTATGTGGGACGTTAAAGCTATTGGTCTATAGTTCTTAGCTATTGCTTTCCTGCCACTTTAATGGAGTGGGGCTATATCCGTTGTTTTTAGTCACTGGAATCTCACCTGTGTCTATGCTCCTTCTCCATAGCATGCTTAGGGCCCGTGAGAGGGGTTTCTTGTGGTTCTAAATGAACACAGAGCTCCACGAGTCTGGGCCTGGGGTTGAGTGCATGGTTATATTATCAATGGGTTTCTCAAAGTCTAGTTGAGTTTGGGTTATGTCAGAAATTTGGTATACATTGACAGGGTTTTGAGGCTCACTGACCACAGAGTCATTTTGAGATTTCAATATCTCACTCATTTCTTTGTTGTCATCTGTGTAGGATCCGTCTTGTCTGAGCAGGGGCCCTATACTAGATGTGGTTTTTGCCTTGTTTTTGGCATATGAAAAGAAATATTTCGAATTTCTTCCAATTTCACTAATCGCTTTTAGTTCCTCTTGTCTCTCCTGGATCCTGTACGAGTCCTTTAACTCAATATTTTCCACTTCCCTTGTTAGCGTTTCCTTCCATGTTTCAGATAATCTAGCATTCTTGAGAAGTTCAGTGATTCTTCGCCTTCTCCTGTAGAGGGAGCATCTCTCTCTTTCCAGTTTACTTCTTCTCTTCTTTTTTTCTTAAGGGAATTTGTCCTGAACATACTTCAGCTACCAGAAAGTTGATCTTCTTAAGGCACTGATTAGGGTCCATGTTATTTAAGATATCTTCCCAACATGTTTCATGTAGGACATAGTTTACCTGGTCCCAGTTGATGTTCTTGTTGTTTAAGTTGAATTTGGTGAAGGTACCCTCATAGCTGTATGCATTCTGCTGATCAGGACCCCTGTGCATGTAAATCTGGACTTCGATTAGATTGTGATCACAATTAGTTGTTTTTGATATTGTTGTTTCTTACCAGGTCCTCATTATCTGTAAAAATGAGGTCCAGCGTGTTCTCCAGTCTTGTTGGCTCCACAATCTGCTGACTTATGGTGTGTTTATTGCAGAAATTAAGCAGCTCATGTGTCTGTGACTTTTCATCTGAGCTGCCTCCAGGGATTATTTTTGTTAGTTATTTGCTACATTCTTCCATTTTGAATATCTTAGATAGAAGTCATCAAGCAGTAAGATGTTTGGGGATGGGGCTGGAAGGTTTTCCAGACAGTAGTCATTTTTCGATAGCTGTTCCTTGAACTGTTGGGAAGTTGCATCTAGTGGCTTATATACAAGCACAATGACTAAGTTTTGGTTCTCGATTTTGTTAGGACTTCAACTACATCATTTGTGGTGTTCAGTATCTCCGTGCAAATGAGCGACTCTTTGACATACTGGCCAACAACCCCTCCAGTTGTCTGCTCTTTCTGTCGCATCTAAAAAAGTTCTTCCCATTATCCATATTTCATTGTCAATCTTTTGTGTATAAAAATAGAGAGAGAGAGAGAGAGAGAGAGAGAGAGGAGAGAGAGAGAGAGAGGAGAGAGAGAGAGAGAGAGGAGAGAGAGAGAGAGAGAGAGAGAGAGAGAGAGAGAGAGAGAGAGAGAGAGAGAGAGAGAGAGAGAGAGAGAGAGAGAGAGAGAGAGAGAGAGAGAGAGAGGAGAGAGAGAGAGAGGAGAGAGAGTAGAGAGAGAGAGAGAGAGAGAGAGAGAGAGAGAGAGAGAGAGAGACACATTTGTTATGAATACCTGACAGTTACAGTCTCTTCCCTGTTTATTATTCGGGGAGGCGGAGGGCCTCACCCCTCCCCTCAACAAACACCCCCCTATTATTCCCACCCCGCTTATATTCTATCCCACACACACGCCCCTCCCCCAAAACTCCGACCACCACTCCACCTCATCCACCTTGTCATGCATCCTCCCCACCACATCACCACCCATCTCATTATCTCACCACCACCCAACAGCGCTTCCCCAAACACACAGCACGTCACCACAACACCTCACCACCCCCTACAACGCATCAACAACACCTCACCACCCACAACACTTCACCACCCACTACAACACCTCACCACTCACCCCAACACCTCACCACTCACCACAACACCTCACCATCCACTACAGCACCTCACCACTCACCACCCCCTACAACACATCAACAACACCTCACCACCCACTACAACACATCAACAACTCCTCACCACCCACTACAAAACCTCACCACCCTCCACAACGCCTCACCACCCCTACAACACCTCACCACCCACCATAACACCTCCACCACCCACCGTAACACCTCACCACCCACTACAACACCTCCCCACCCTCCACAACACCTCACCAAGCACTGTAACACCTCACCACCCACTACAACACAACAAATCCACCCCATCACCTCTCACTACCCACAACAGAAACCCACTTCTCTCGCACTTACGCCACAATTTAACGTAATTACCAACCCTTCGACACCACTGCAGATTGGTCAGAGACTAAACCATAATACCGACAAGTGGTTAAAAA